GGAGAAGGGGGGGCAGTGGGCGGGCTGTCCGCCCTGCCACTGTGCCAGGTGCCAGCCATGGTGTCCCTGGGGCTGCCAGGCCCTCCCCATGTCCCTGCGGCTCCTGCGGGGACATAAACACATTTTTTAAGGGCAGTTCTCTCCGTCCCTGTTCACAGCTGCGCTGACAATGTGGTTAAAACACACGGTGCAGCAGAGCTCCCTGCACGGCATCCCAAGTGACACCAACCAGCCTTGGGGACATCAAGTGCTTCTGACAAGTCCCCCAAGACACATATCCCCCTGAGAGGGGAAGTCTGAGTGTGGTGGGGATGTGTGAAACCCACCCAGCCACAGCTGCTGCAGGAAACAGGAGCCCTGGGGCCAGCCTGTGATGCTCATGTCCCAGCTCGGTGGGTCCAGCTGGGTCACCAAGGTGCATCCAATGCCTTTGCCAGGACAGCAGCGTCCCAAGTCTGCCTGGCATCTCTCCCAGCACATGCCTGTACCTCTGGGACTTCACTGATGTCTCTCCAAATTAAAGCAAGGTGCCTACATAAGCACTCTTCAACTACATAAAATTTGCACCCTCTGATGGCCGCAGTGCCTGTTGCTGGCCGTGGGGCTGAGCAGGCTGAACAAGCCTCTGTGCTCCCCAGGCCAGCACAGACAGTCAGGGCTGGTTTTCCTGCAGCAGCTCAGAAACCTCCGGGCTCCCTGTGCCACCTTCTGCCAGCACCAACCCTGCCTGCCCAGCATCACCTCCGCCGTCAGCCCCGGGAAGGAAGCTGCCCGCGGTTGCACGGCTGCAGACCAGTGCAGGGTCGCATCCCTCTGTGCAGGCTTTCTGATGAGGATGGGTTTAATTCAAACCTGGTCCTGCTTCTCACGTGTTCCTGCCCTGTCTCCATCCATCCGTTAATTGCCATCGGCTGATCTCTCCAACCCGGTTTCCGTGCTCTGACGCACTCTGCCTCGCCATCCCGACCCAGGAGGCTTTCAGCCAGCCAGGCGCTGACAACAGTCTGATTTACTCACCCGAGTTAAACGCAACATAAGGATTTTGGGTGTTACCCTTCGTGTTCCTCCGTCAGCAGCAAGGCTGCCCTGTACTGGGTCATTTACCGCATCATGGGGCAGTTTGGCTGGGGCAGCTCACCCAACACCAAAGCAGCATTTGCCAGAGGGCTGACTTGACAAAGAGCCACCGCTCCTACCCACGGCTTAACCACTCCTTTTATGCCTGCTTGAGACCCAAAAATCCCCCAAGCTCGGCAGGAGGGAAGCTTCACCGCACCACAGCAGCAGTAAGGCAAAGGCTTGCTGGCGAAACAGCCTTGAGATGAGCAATACCAAATGAACACAAAAGCTTAAATCCACGTTTCTTGCCCCAGGGAGAGGCTGGGGATGCAGGCAGCTCCAGCAGCGCTGCCCTGCTTTTGCTCCGAGCGAGCAGCCGGCCGGCAAAGGATGCACACGTTGGCACGGGGCTGAATTCATCCTCCCAGCTCCTGGGCTGGGATGCTCCAGGCCTTCTGCTTCAGCACTGTTACACAACCGCTGTTACGAAAAAAATTCAATTACAGAAGTTATTTGTAAGCGCAAGTGCACCAGTAAGCATCGGAGAAACACAAGCTGCGATGGTCCAGAGGTTACAGGCTGGCCCGGGGCGAGTGGATTACCTCCTGGCAGGGTTTGCTGCTCTTTGCAGTGACTCGAGCAGAGGAATTTCCAGGAGATGAAAAGAAAAGCCAAAGCGGTTTCATAGAGTAAAATATCTTAATATTTATTGTGTCTCAGGACAAAAGAGTTCTACTCGATACACAAAACGAGTTAAAGCAGCATATAATACTGACATCAAGTCACAGCTGACTCGGTGCAAGGACACCTACCAAGGTAAAGGCACCAGGAGCTACATCAACAAACCTCGCTACAGCTTACAAAGAATCACTACAGCCTGTACTTAGAAAAGTACAACTATAAAAAAGTATACAAAACCCAGGGCAGGGATGAGAGAGAGCTTGGCAACAAGTCGAAACCTTGCTGAGCCAAGAGCTTCAGGCAGGCAGGGCTGTGTTTTAACAGGGCAACAGCCCCACCTCGAGAGCAACCACATCTGGAGAGCAAGGGGACATTGAGGGGCTGCTGAAGATGAGGGAAAACATCGCTTTCCCCACAGAGGCACCAAAGATGAGCACTGGGAGTCCCACGAGGCCACCAGCACGGTCGATTCGGCACGGCAAGGCACCCGAGTGCAACACCGAGGAAAGAGCCGGGGGCTGCGGTGCCCGGAGGAGCACGCTTGCTGTAACCACGGCAGCTACACTAATTATCCCACGCAGTGGCACAGCAGAGTAGTGTTAGGACAAGTCCCTGAGCGCACCAGGACAGCTGCTGCACTCGTTTCTATGAGCTAGTTGAAAAGAAGATCAGTCAGTTCAAAGCAAGATTTCACGAAGCGGCATCCAGAGGAAAACCAGAGGTGGTGGCATCCTCCCCAGCTGCGGAGAGCATACCCTGCAAGGCACAAGACAAAGTGTTAACAGACAAGGCTGAATTTATACACAGCTTAAAACAAGGTAGCAGACACGGTCTTGCAGTTGCCCTCTATCCTCACATGCCCCTAAAAGTGGTACCCGCCACTGTGTTGAAGGTCCCCAGGGGCAACCAGGCAGCAGCCAGGGATTCAGAGGCAGCCCACCGAGCTTACATCGCTGGACAGACATACCCGGCCACAGTCACGGCATGCTGGAGGCCAGCTACACCATCTCGTACTGATTATTCGTGATGTACTGGGACAGGCAGCAGGCGAGAATGATGCCAACCAACTGAAAAAAGAGAAAAAAAAACAAACCACACATCAGAAGTCACCAAAACCAAGACATGGTGTTTTAGGGGAAAAGCCTGACAAATTGCTCCAGAGCATCATTTTTATAAAATCCAAGGATGGACAGTGGGATTTACAAACCACAACATGGGCTGCTGCACCTTGCTTCGGAATAACTGAGAGAGGCTGAAGCAGAGGATCCTGGCAGGCATCAGCCAAACAAGCTCCTCGCAAGAGATGTTCCGTGTCCTGTCCTGTTACATTTTGCTTCAAGAAGCAGCTACTGGTTTATGGCAATTTCAGAGATTACACCGATATCAGGAGCGTCACAGTCAATTACACAGCCACTAGAGAACACCAGCTACCTCTCCCTGTTGCAAGGACAGCAGAGAAGCAAGGTTGCTGTTTTCGCATCAGCATCTGAAGGACACGCTACTGTTACCACAACGTGGCCTCCCAGCCCCCGCACAGACATTTAGGGCCAGATCCCGCAGGATTTTGACCTACACAAGCAAAGGTAGAGGCACATTCGCAGGATGGGTCCTTGCTGACCACAGGACACCATAAGGCTTGCTGAAAGAGAGATAAAAGCCAGGAACCGGTTACAATTCCAAAGCCTGGTATCAGCCAAGATAATTTCACAGCTGGGAGTGTGCAGTTCACCGTTTGTGTGTCGGTCACGTCTCGGTGACCCCACGGCGAGCACAGCCCAAGTGAGGAGGGGAGCAGGGTGAGCGGCTGGGCACAGCAGAGCAGTTCCAGCTCTCAGGCTCTCCCAGCCGCAACCGAAAGCACTGGGAAGCACAAGTTGCAGCCAGGAGCTGTTGGCTCCGCCTCTCCCCCAGTTCAGTCCATCCGTTATGGGAAACACAAGACGACACGCTCGTTACGGGACAAATATCTTGGCAGGGTTCCTTCTCCCCATGCTGGTGCTGTCAGCTGGAGGTTCCGGGTGGCAGCGCCTTGAAGCTCATGCCACGGCCTCTGCGTGCCAGATCAAGGGGAGACTGAATTCAAACCCCTCCAAAGTGAGGGCCAGCCGAGCTCGTTCTGCAGCTACTTAGCACCGAGAGCCCAGCAAGCTTCCACAACCACCTAAAGAAGAGCAGCTCCCACTGCGGTGCCTCGGAAAACCCTCGGCAAACTTTGGGAAAGCCCACCGCGGCGTCAGTGTGCCCAACACCCA